ACTTCTTGTGACATGCCAGGCCACCAAGCAAACATTCTCAGAGCCGTTTCCGTTGCCTGTCTTCCTGGAAGCGTCTTGTGGGCATCGTCCATAACTTGTCTTCTGAACCTTGGCGGTTTGCAAGTCACAACGCCCCTGTAGCTGACGCCTTCTCGAATTTTCAATGTTTCAGCTTCCTTCTTGAAGTGTGACTCAGCTTCTAAGCATTGTCTCCAATCACCGCTTTGTTCGATTCGATTTGAGGTCGCTTTTGATGTCGTATAGCTTGATTATCTGCGAAAAAGATGGCATTCTGAAAGAAAGTTTTTTTCTCTTCTGGCGTCTCGTCCTCGAAACGCAGCCTGGTCAGAGCATCCGCATGTGGGATCTGCTCTCCTGGCACATACTTCAACTTATAGTCGAATCTGATCAGCGCAATAGCTCGTATGGTTTCTCTAGCTGTTGCTTTTTTCGGTATCTCTCCGTATGGCGCAAAGAGGTACTGCAAGGGTTTGTGATCTGTTTGTAGAGTGAACTTGCGCCCAGTGAGAACTTTTTCAGTCGTGTGCCACAGTTACGGTTGCCAGAGCCTCTCGTTCTATGTTGGAGTGGTTGCGCTGAAAGCACTTGTTGTGTCGGTCTGTACGCTTGAACTCTTGACTCCGTAAGTCATTGATTGGGAGCATCATGGTGGCAAAGTTCGGAATCATTCGCCCGTAAAAATTTGCCAGTCCACAAAATGATTGAAGTTCTTTGTGGTTCGTGGGTATCTTTGTACTCCAAACCTTTTCAACAAGTCTATCATCAGGCTTTTTTCGATCAGCTGAAACTGAATAGCCTAAAAACGAAACAGTTGTGAGTGGTTTCGAGTTTCATTTGGTCTCATTGAGGGTGAAAATCTTTTCTCTGAGTCGTCGATTGTCTGCCGTCGTACGTTTTTTGTATCGCTCCTATGATTTTCCCTAGACAAGCAGGTCGTTACGAAAGATTATCACGCCATTGATTCCTTTGAGTGTGCTCTCGATGAAGTTTTGAAAGATCGAAGAAGAGTTCTTCAACCCTTGAAGTAGTCGACACATCTTCAACAGCTCCTGTTTCGTGTTGATTGTGCACACTTCTTTCGCTTCATCATCAAATTCGATTTGATGGCAAAAGTCTGATGAGAGATAAATATGGCCGAAAAAATTGGCGGTATGTAAATTTTTGCAAATTGACACCATGTCGGGTTATGCTTAGTCTTTGTCCATTACTTTGCCATTGAAGTGAACTTTGTAGTCGGCACAAAGTTTGAGGTCACCATTTTTCTTTCTCTGCCGCACGGCTGGTGATGCATTCGTCATTATTTTCTCCGGACTGCACTGGCTTGGGGTCTCCCTTCTGACCATGTACTATAGCGTTGCTTTTACTGCCTCTTGCATCGGCAATGGAATTTTGCGTGCTTTGCAGAAAAGTGGTTGGGCTTCAGTTTCACCTGGTCCTTGTATCCCTTAAATGTCGGCAATGTCCCTGAAAGCCCATGTATCGAATACTGGGTTGGAAAGAGATTGCGTCCAAGTAGTCGGAAACCCTTGTTCGATCGCACAATATATCAGGTGACATTTTGCTGTTTCTTTGAAGTAGAGTTTGTAGTAGAGTTTGTGTCTATTGTCTGCTTGTAGAGTCCGAGCAGTTCCATCTAGACTCGTTCCTCCAAGCTTCTCCCAGATGCCCGAGGAAATCATTGTTCTATCAGCACCGGCGTCCACTTGCATTTTCCCCTCAGTGCCATCAATGACGATACTTTACCATGCGGCGGCCCTGCCGATGAGACTTGATGCAAAACTATTCCTACTTAAGTGCCGTTCTCAGAGCTTTCTAAGTCCCCCTTTGATATTTGACCCCATCAACATGATGGTTTACACTCATAATAATTAAATCTACTCTTACCTGTGTTGTTGTTGCTTAACTTGCTTCAACACTTTTTTGCAAAGTGTCCTGTCTTACCACATGAGTTACTTTTTTTTTACTGTTGTCGGACAAGACTTATCACCGTGCGAGTACCCATTAGCAGTTTTTCGACATTCCGATTCCTTGTCATTGTAAGTCTTACTAACTTTTCCTGGTTTTCTGAAGGTTGACTTGGAATTGTAAGCAATTTGTTCTTTGATATCAACCTTGAAAGTCCCAGTAAAATGCTGTGCTTGATCGCTAAACTGTAAAACATATTTCATATCGGTTGGATTTATATCTGTTGTAACTCTATTTGCCTCAAGTAACTTGAGTTTAGAGTGCGATTCTAAGTCCCAGATGACGTTCATTCGTAGCATCTCGTCTTCCGCATCAGCGGTGTTTTTTTTTCTAAAAACTTAAAAAACCGAGCAGCATTACAAAGTCTTCAAAAAAAGTAGCTGGCAGACTTTCCTTGATTCTGAACTGTTGATAGGAACATGGCTCGGTCAGCAACGACCTCATGTTCTCTAGGTCAGCAGTAATCTCAAGCCACAGTGTGGACCTCATTGAACGTAATCTTGATGAGGTTTTTTTTGGCGAAACAAGGCTCCTCAACTTCAAGATTGCTTGCTCCCCACTTTGACCGAGGAAGAAGTTCTTCCTTTGAAGGTGTGAGGGATTCGATCCGTCTGCACCCTTGTCGCTTTTCTTCTCTGAGGAAAGCAATCAGCCAAGCCCTTGCCTCTTCAGGTTTCGAAAATTCGAGTGAGCTATTAGGGTTAATCATTTCAAGTTTCCAGTCTGGTCACCACTGTTGAGGATCGGTGCCACGCAAGAGATTTGCTACTAAGATTTTTTTGAAACCGATGGTAATGATAAATTACCTATATTTTAGTTGGAATTCATTTTTGTTATCAGCGAGGATAGTACGCATTGAAATAAGATATGTCAGTAGGGATAAATTTTTTCGTTCACGTGTTCCCATTTTGGTATGTTTTTTACCAAAATTGCATTTGACATGTACAGCATCGAATTCATGGATAGGATTCATTAATATCATGAGAATCTATCATGGTAGACACATGCTGACAGTTGGTTAAACTCAACTGATAGTAAAGAGACAGCAATAAATCTAGAATCGCTTCTGAACCATTTTAATACGCTTCAACAGATCATTTGAATTCAGATGTTTATTCTCTTTAGGTTTCATACTAATAGTTTCAAATTCGATGATATCTCAGATCATCACTGAGCGCGTAATGATTACCTTGCCCTATTGTTTTGAAAGATGTCATGCGAACTAATTAAGTCATGTTGATCATACGTGCTGTTCATACCTGATCTTGTAAAACCACTCGTTACCCCATAAAATTGATGCTCATGCGAGGTGATGGGGATTAAAATTAGCTGTATAAATTGTTCATAGCAAAAATTGCGCCTAATATTTTTTCAGATGAAAAATTGAAGTTACCAAACTGTTTTTTATCAAGCAAAACGTTTCAATTTTCTATTATTTAACATTTCTAAGTGGGTTTAATTGTTAGTAATCAAAACTCAATTTTGGATTTTTGGATCTGTTGAATTATTCCCCTTCAAAAGTTTTTATCAGAACTCAAAATTATTGAATAGATTAACCGCATTGTTTCAGAACCATAAACTCATGCTGAACGCTTCAAAAACTGAGTTTATCTCATTTTGCTGAAAAAAAGTTGACATTGGTCTCAATAAGGATGAATTGTTATTTGTTGGAAATTCAGCAATTAAAAGACTAACAGATGTCTTTTAACTAGGAATATATCTGACCTCTGTTGTTTTCTTAGAATGTATTTAGAACAAAGCTCTGATATTGTGTTAAGAACTAAGCTGTGAGATCAAATTTGTCTTACAAAAATGGCAGCTTGCATAAAAACAATTGATTATGTAAAAAAAATCTACCCAAACCTTTTCTTGAAAACAGTTCTCCGATGCTTTGTTATTTGTGTTTTTGATTACTCATCTTCACTTTTCTATAGTATCAACGAGTCGCTCATAAATTCGTTTGAAAAGCAAAAGCAGCTGAACTGCGCAATAAAAAGAGTTTTTTTCGATCTTGGAACAAATCATCGTGTCTCATTACAAGACAAGAAAATATCATTAGCATGAAAACTCGAATTGAATTTAAATCTCTGATTTACTTGCACGAATACATCAAAGATTATAAAAAAGCTTTTCTAGGGAAATCTGCCTTGATACAGCAAAGTATAATTTCAATGAGAGAACATCTAAAATAATTTTTAAAACCATCGTGCTGGCGTGAACTAAATTAATCTTCATAGTATAAAATTGTATGACTAGCATTTGAAAACAAATTGTTGCCTCAATTTTTTTTGTAGTTGAATGTATCTAGAATCCGTTTTTAGTACATCACATATAAAGTATCATGTTTAAACGTCCGAACACTTAGCTAATAAAGCATTTTTTCCCAATGTAAAAAACGTAATTTTTGAAAAAATCCCAATCCCACAGTTATCATAGTTTGAAATGGTATGACTAGTTTTTTTACAGTCTTATCATATTTCTGGATTTTTTTGTCTCCGAAAGCAATTATACCATTACAGGATCAAATTTTAATCCCCCCTTCCCAGATCGACTAAGTTAAGATCCTCCACCAACGTTTAATTCGAATTAATTTTGCCAGGCGCTGCCAGTTAAATGCTCGATGCTGATAGGCTGAAAATAGTTCCTACTGAAAACCACGTTAACATGCTCCCTCCAAAATGCTTTAGGTGGAGGGGATGTTAACTTAGTCTACTCGTCATTAGGTGCTTCAAATTCGAACATCCGCAGATTTTGTTTTAAATTTTGTAAATTTTTTGTGAATCTAGAAGAAAACGCTATTTTTGAGGGGAAAAAATGCTAGCCATGCAATGTTTATAGTCTGAAATTGTATGACATGCTTTTTTTATGGGCTTCATATGTGGATTCGATCTTCTCATTCTTCTTGTATTTTACTTGGCTTTTTTTCGAATTCAGATTGAAATTTGAATCAAAATTTAAATTAATTATTACAGTGTCTTGAATGGACATCACTGAGTGTATACGTGTTTGTTTAGCCTACTGGATTGCGTGGAAGAGCGTGAAGACGTGCATGGACCATGATGACAGACTGGAGCTGAGCGAGTACGACCTCTCCTACGTCAAACAGAAGATTTGGGAGTACTTCAAGGTCAGCATCGAATCGAATTCCTTCCTAAACTTATTGTTCCCTCCACCGAAGGTTAGGAGGGTCTTTCTAATTAAGCGCCCGAATTGATAACATTGGGGTGATTTTTCGTACGGCCTTGATAACTTTATTTTGGTCCGTATAATTATAAGTAAAAAGACCCTATTATGCAAATGAAACTTAAGAAGAAAGTTTGCGAGAACTAAATCTTTTTTCTTCTACTATGCTCTACTTAATTGTCGGGACCCCCCCGCACCAAATCGACCTCCTCATAGACCCCAGGTTATTGACCCCTCACTCCAAGTTTTGAGGGTCTGAATTGACGCAGCCGGAATTTTTATACCATTAAATTTATACCCAAGTTTTTTTTAAAAAATATGCTGTTTTCGAGAGCTCAAGTTGAAAAAATTGTTTTTTTTTCGACGCAAAAAATAATTTCGTCCGAGTTAAATTACTGAAAAATTTTATGCCAATTTTTACGTTTGAGACAATTTTTAACTTGATTTTGTCATAATTTTTATCAGAATTGATAACAAGTTGCGGGACCCTCCTGAAAATTTTGAACCTCCTCGCAATGAAAAGCTCTTTTTTTGTTCAAAAGTGTCCAAGACCCGCTTACTTTTTGACCCCCCGCAATTTGCATACTTCTTAAGTACTCATAATGTGCTTGTTTCATTTTCTTTTTGATACAATTTTCATTTTTGAGCTGGTATTTCGCGCAGCAATTCCGTTTCCTTGTTTTTGATGGATAGGGAAGATTAATAGAAAGGGCCAACACTTCTATTTTTTCCAGCTCTCCTCTTGGTTTGACGTGCAGCCCTACTTCTACAAGATGGAGAAGAGCTTCGTGGCCAGATTCACCCTGGAGGTGCTCAAAGGAGCCAGAGAGAAGAGGGACCAGTTCTGTCTCCATCTGTTCTACTTGGCCGGATGGTACTTGGGCAGGTCTATCGTGGGCATATGTGCAAAAGCAGACCCTGTGAGTAGAAATTACAGCAAGGGTGAAACTTCAGAAACAAATGATGGAAGAAATTACAGAAAGGGTTGGGTTAAAGTGGCTTGGAGTTGGAGTGAAAATATGGGACGCTGCAATGCGATATGAAAAAATTAAGAATGTATTTAGTAGCTAATGGATAATTTATTTTCATCATTGTAAACTCCGAACAAAACTTATCGAATGTTTCAAGCGTCCTTTTAATTTTCCAGAAATACATTGGTTGAAAACAGATATACGTCGATAATTTACTAAGGTCCCTTTTTATTGTTCCAAGCATTTGAGAAATGTGGAGGAACTTTGTATTCAGGTCTGTTTTATTTTTTTTATTGTTTGTTCTTTTTTCCAAGCAAAATCAGGTGCCACAAATAATCATTGAAATGAGTAGAGGGATATTCCAAATTCAAGCCGTTTCAGTCGCGGTTCGAACGACGTTAAGAAAATTTAAAAATTTTTTTGTCAGTATCGAGAAAAACTGGCTAAAAGTTTTTGATTTTTAATTTAATTTCGAGCGAATAAAGCGAGCGAGCAGGCCAACAACAGCTTTTTGCTGCTTAATTTAGGCACTCAAAACTTTGTTTTAAGCCAGTTTTTAGCGCCATTTTTGGTATCAAAAACTTCAAAAAATTTGAATTTGTTTAAATTTTCTTTTGATGCTTTTGTTTTTCTAGTAATTTTTCTCCAGAAATTTTTGTCCAATTTGTGTAAATTACTATGACTGTCGAATATGCCTAAATTATACTTTTACGTCAGATCCTTTCATCACAACACGCAGAAAAAAACTTGAAAAAAAAAAACTTTTTTGTTGTTTCTGAAAGACGATGGTCGGAAAATTCTGTGCTACTTGCACAGTAACCGGTTATCCCTGTTGAATTCTTATGTTACTTGTCAAAAAACAAATTATTGCTAGTATTTGCATTCGCGAGCTTCGAGCGTTAGTGTATTAGTACGAACCTTCTTTTTTCTAATCCAACTCGCAAATTAAAAATATTCATTATTTGGTGGCAAAGTGTTCCCTATTTGGTGGCACTTTTGCTATAATTACGATCTATAGCATTGGAGTTTTCATAGCATCTGTTCTCTGCTTTGTTTCAGGCTTTTGTTAGTGAAAGATTAAGCGTCCGTAGCTGAGTGGTTAGTGCGTGAAAATCATATTTTCTAGGTCGCCTTTGGTCGCAGAGCGAATCCGAGACCTATCCGAATATTTACGAATTCGAGGTTTCTTTTAGCACTTGTTAGAGCTGATTTTCGTCGTTTTCTGACTAGTGTTTGCGAAGCGCAACTTTGCCTCTGTGTTTGATTATTACCATTAATTTACCCATATTTTTTCCTAGGCACTGTTCTACAATGGGAAGTGTATCCAAGTGCTGGCAGTCGGCAGCATCTTCAAGAGCTTCGACCTCCTCAAACAGGGTGAGTGAACATCTTTCACATTGCTGGTCTTTTCTGTTATTTCAACCAATCAGATTCGAGAATTGTGATCAAATTTTCAAAATAGCAAACTAATCAGGCCTGTCGTGATGCCTCTGAATTGTAGTTCTTATTGAGTCAACCATACAATTTGTTTCAGAGCGAGCACTAAATTGCTTTTCCACTTCATAAAACTATAGTAATAGCAAAAATTTGGATGAAAGTGACGAAAACTTGGATAAACATGTGCTTGATTTAGGTTTTCTCGAAGGTCTCAAGCCCAAATATCCCTCTGACGTCACACTGACAGGAATCAGATTAGTTCAATTGACAGTCGACAGCTCAATTGGGGCAGCTCTTCTAGGCGCCAAACACGTGAAACGAGAACTGCCGATAGAATACGAAAAGAACGTCGACGTCCTCTTCGAAACGCAATTTTAGCCTCTAATGCACGATGCCTTCATTCACAAAAAGTGGCTCAAATGAATCTTGAATATAAATGCTGTCAAAGTTTTGTACATCAATCTTTTTCGGGGGAGATTTCGAAGTTTCCTTGCTGGAGACGATCCATTTTCGACTAATTTTGGGAAACAAAAAATCGAGATATTTCCAAATTTTCAGTATCATTTAACAATGTTCGCCAATGTAAATGGGATTTGATATGTCGTTTTTTAAATGAAATTGTTAATTTAACTAAACAGTTTGTAAATAGCTGGTTGCCTTCTATCTTCTTTCTTGTGTATGATAAAAAATAATACAAACAAGAATTAATTATAACGGTTGATCTTCAATTGTTCTTACATGGTTAGATGAAGATATTTCATTGCAGCGGCGGATTTAGGGGAGCGAACGCCGCCCCCCCCCCCTCAAGGATTCGACCACCTACCGACCCTTATGTACTATTTTGTGATATCCATTTTTGGCTAACGGACCCTAAATTTTTTCTAAAGGCGCCTTTGGCGCCAATATATACTAATTTTGAGGGGGGAGTGCGCGCCAAAAAAACGCGATTTTGTCAAAATTTTCAAAAAAAGTGCCTAAAAACGCCTTTTTTCAAAATTTTGGCCTTTTTAAATTTTTGGAAAATCCAAGGTCAGCCCCTGTTTCTTTGTGAATTGCTTAGGAAGAGGTGTTTTTCATTGTAGCAATAATTTTTTTAAATTGATTTTTTACTTTTGTTTCTGCGGTTATTGCGAAAATGTGTATGAAATTTTGAGGAAAGATTGTTGCTTACTGAACCCGTTACTTATTTCTACCCTACTGCGTTGTTGTGACCACCCCTCCAGCAAGAATTGATTTGTTCGTATATCAAACCCTCGTAATTTTCTCAATGTTATTAACCTTGCGATAAACAAGGGTGTTCCAATTGAGAACCAGACTTTTTGTCTGGTAAACAACTTTGTCCACCCACAGCATGACTGAAGTGTGGTTAACTCCATCTGTATTTTTATCAACGAGCAGACAATGTTTGAGCATGTCTGCAATTAAAATGCCTGCTCTATTCAAAATTTGTGTTTTTTTATGTTGGTTTTAAGTACAGTAACTCCAATTTTTTGTTTCCGTTCAATTTTTTCCTCTCTTTATTTGGCTTGAAAGGTTTCGGCTTCTAAAATATTGGCTTAGAGGCATCTTTTTGAGTTGTTTGAGGAGCAAAAAGGCTTCGTGTAATTGTTTGATGGTGCACTTTTAAAGATTCACGAACGTAGTGAGTAGGTTTAGGTGATTTTTTTTCAGGAAAGTCTTAAATTTTGTTCAGGCTCCAATTTGATGTTTCGAGGTTTGACCTACGATGTCTTTCTAAGTTTAGTTCATTTCCTTTCTTAAAAGGAAATTAAATTCGACTATCGAACAGCAAAAGTGTGAAAGTCACGAAAAACGTGATTGACTTCTATTTTGGGAAGTAAAAACTAATTTTCAGATTTACCAGCGAATTAAAAGATTTACCTATGGATCCAGTTTTCTCAAATTGGGCTAATTTTATCAAAAAGCTTCAAACAAATTGTTCTAAAAAGTCAAAGGGTTATAAGGCTGTATATTTGTTTCTGTAAAATTTGAAAGTTAATGTTTTTCAAAAAACAGTCAGTTTTTGTTATGTGTCCTTAAATTCGTGACTCTTTTCCAACTGTCTGTTTTGAGTTTTTTAGTGTTCAAAACTTTTTTTGAAATGTGTAGTTAAAAAAAAACAATTCTTGTTTCGGCACAACGTGTGTCTGCTCAATAATAGTATATTTTTACCGCTTTTTAATTTTTCTTTTGATGCTCATTACGCTTGCGATAAGCAAGCGTTATCAGACTGGAATATATAATTTTTTTCGGGTTAACAACTTCTTTAACAGAATCACTTTACATTGGTTTACATTGAATTCAAATTTTTTTGCGTTCTCAGTCAACTTAGCCTGGAGGTAACGAATATGCTTGGGACGCCATTGGTTTAATTACCTAATTTTGAGTCGTTTCAAGGAAAACGCAACTTGAACACTCCCCTCCGCTCTTTCATATGGGTTACATTTTCACCAATCGGTTTGTTGAATTTTTTTTTCTTTATGGAAAGAAAATTTCCAAGTTTATTAGAACATTTTTAGTTTTTCTCGAAAATTGCTTCTGATTTTCAAAAAAGGGTATCAATTGAAAGACCGCCTACGCCCCTGTGTACTCTTTTCAGTTGATCACTCTATCTACAGCATTCGAAAAAAGTCTGTGAGGGGAATATTTGACCCATATTTGGGTTCAATCGAATTTGCAGGTTGAGTGAATCCTTTCTGCATAAGCGCCCTATTTTTTTCAGACAAAAAGCTATGATTCTCTAAAATGTCAAATTTTTTTATTAGTTGACGTTTTTTGCACTTTTCTCGCTATCTCTTCTGCCAAACCTAATATCTTAGGTTTAATTATAAAAGGAGGTTTTTGAAAACAGGTTGTTGAAAGCCTAAATTATAACTGATTATGCCCAGTTTCTTCAAGAAAAAAGTTATGGCTTTCAAACAAGTCGAAGTTCTGAAACTTTGACAAATTTTTTGCAAACTTTTTGACTTAACGCGAAAACTACCGTACCAATTCTCAGCTTCTGTTCAACCGACAAACCCGGTTTGAGGAAATTTCTCCGCTTGAGCGGCTGAAAACTGCTCTTGGCCGGAAAATTTCATGGAATTTCACTGTCAAATTTACACTATCAAATCTGAGATGAAAAGTTCAGTTGAAAGAACCGGTTGCAATAATGGTTCCTGCAGAAGCGGCTGGTCCTCAATTGTTTGTAAGAGAAATGTTATCTACTTTGGAAAATTGATTATCTCAAAATTTCTTTCTCTTCCCATTAATTTTAATAGAAAAACAGTTTAGGTTTTTGGTGAAATCCAATTTTTGAAAAATAAATTTTCGTGCGCATCAGTACAGCAAATTTATTCAACATCAATCACTTGCCTTCAACTTTAGCTGGGCCTCTAAATGTTTTATCTTGACATACGAAAATTTTGGTAGACCTAATTTTTTTCAACATAAAATATATTTTCTCTACTTATGTTTTTTGATGTTTGTTTTGTATCGCAAGTGGTGCGAATCTCCGTTTCGCCTGTGTTTAAAACTCAATATTCTTGAAAAGATTTTTTATTCAAGACAAAATCAAGACAAATCAAGGAAAATTTTTTTCATTTGATCAATTTTTTGATGTTTTTTTTTAATACTTTAGAATTTTTTGATTGCTATTATATCTTTTTTGTCCGTTACTTTGCGCTATGTATATGTTGTATCGCAAAAGGCGTGAAGCTCTGCTTCGCTTTTGTGTAACATGTTCGTGTGATTGCAAAGTTTTGCCTGTTTAAGTGCTTCGCTTTTGTGCTTGCAAAGTTTTGGCTATTTGATTTTGCACTCGGACAATGTGTTGGAAATATCACTGTCATCGTTGTCTTCTCAATCGTCTTCAATTGGGCTCACATATTTCCAGCTTGACTCTTACGATAACAAAAAGTTCGAATCCATGATGGAATCGTGTGGTGGGTCTGATTGCCTAACTTACATTAAGCCAGAAGCGAGATCTCATGTACTGAACGGCTCAATAAGAATGCTAAATCGAACTATTTTGATTTGCAAAAACTGAGTTGAGACAGTACAACAGTTGTGAAGTACAACAGTGCCCGAAAAAATGTTGCTCAACAGTACCGAATTTCATCACTTTTTGGCAATTTGAACACTTCTCAGTTTCGGCACTTTTGAACTCTAAACTTTCAATTTTTCTCGAATTAGAGTAGAATTTCAATTAAATACGAACAACAAGAGTGTGAACCAAACTATTGTTTAAAATCTTCAAAAATGACGTTTTCGAAATGCATATTTTCAAGAAAAGGTTTTCAAATTCCTATCGGCTTGGAATTTTAATCGAAATTGCTTGGATTTGATTGGCTGATGTTTGCCAAAAATATTTAATTAAACGTTTTAATTCAAGATTTGGTAAAGTATTTTTGAGTCGTTTCATGATAAAATAAGTTCATCACCACAACAAATATGTCAAGCAGTAATTTAGTTTGAAATATTTATCAAACAGTCCTCATGCTAGAGTAAATGGTAGTTACATCTGTTAATAAGGATAGCCGGTTGCAGTCCAAGTGGCACGGAATCTTCCGACCACTTTCATTAAAAAAAAACAAATAAAGAAAGTTTTCTTCTTAGTGTCGTTTTTTCTGCGTGATGTGATAAGAGAATTATATCAATTGATATAGTTTTACTAAATTAGGCATAAGAGATAACAGTTGATTTTGAAAATTGAAAACAAAAACAAAAAAGGAAAATTTCAGAAACTTTTTTGTTAATTATTTTTCTAGTGGTTGTTTGATTTCTTTAAAAAAAATTCGCCAAAGAAGCGGTAACATATGCTTTCACACTTAATTTTCCTGATGTAAAACAAAACTTTCAATTCCTAAACGAAAAATAATCTTTTACAGGGCCTATTCGCTCGCTTTATTTATTTGAATCTAGACTAAAACTCAAATAGTTCAAACCGTTTTTTTTTCAAAACTCGAAAATTTATTAGCTTCAAAAATTTATCTTTGTTCTTCAAATCCCGACTAAACTAGCTTACAATGATATATCCCTCGACTCAGTCCGATGATTATTTTAATTTAGAGTGAAAACGTAATTTAGAGTGAAAACGAAAAACTAAAATACAACTAAAGATGAAGTTCCTCTCATTGCCAATGAACGGAACTATAAGGGTAGTCGAAACGACATCTTCGAGTTGAAGATAAAACTCATCCTTCTATAATATGCCAATGTCGGATTAGTAGCAATTGTAAGTAGACAACAAATTGCCAAAAACATAAACAATCAACAAATAAGGAAAGCCGGTCGCTGTGCAAGTAGTACAGAATGTTCCGAGCACATTTATTAAAAAAAAATACAAAAAAGTCCTCAAATTAAGCATTATTTTTCGTTTCGTGTGCTTTGTGTGATGAGAAAATTACACACGCGTACGGAAATGGTAATTTAGTAACGATTGACAACAGTTATCTTCTTAAAACAACAATTCTAAAACTTTTTCTAAATTTTTTGCACAAAAAATTTTAAAATTTTAGAAAACTTTTATTGCCAAGGAAGCCCAATGAAGCTTGCTTCCAAAACTAGGTTTTTTCCTAATAAAGTCATGTTTTTTTTGCCTAAAAAACTCATTTATATATCGAACGTAAGTCTATTGCTCGCAATTAGTCTAAAACTCAAAATTAATCGGTTTTTCTTGACACTGGGACAAACTTGTTGTTCGAATGTTATTAAAAACTGAAAGGGTTTTAATATGATACATCACTCGATTCTTTCTCATGATTTTTTAGGAGGCTCAGTGAGCGTACTGTAATAGTACTGCTCTTTTTTCCTAATAACTTAATTCGCAAATATTGGTGCCCTTTTTGTGGCCTTTTTACGGCTTTTTGATAGCATGTGCTTTGACAGTCGATTAGTAAAAAGTTACCATAGTCGAAGCAGTTTTCATTCATTAAATGAACCGAAATTAGCTGTTTATTGCAAACAACAGTAAAATAATAGAAACTTGATTTCAGAAAGCTTTCAACTCTATATATCTCACATTATTTTTGAAATGCATAATTTAAGCGTTGTTTGGCTTTATGCTTTCGAATTTGTTATACAAATTTAGTGTAGATGCCGGTTTGTTATATTTCCAATTATTACATGCAAAATTGGGTCTTTTTTATTTGCCACTTTTGCTGCATCTCTTGGGCAATTTATTAGTAGCTGCTTTGTTTGTGGCTAGTGTTTGCAATTTGCCAAGGTCTTGTAGCGCAGATGCGAGGACTGGGAAATATAAATCTTACCTTTATAATATTTCATTTTAAGGCGCTACTTTTTGTCGTTTTCGCGCTAGTGTTGGCGAAGCGCAGCTTGGCCTCTGTGTTATTTGCGTTGACTCAGTTTGCGTGGAAAACAAAAAAAAGTAAAAAACTAAAACAGACACAAAGTTGCTACCAGTTTTCAATGGTCGGAACAACAACTAAAACAGAGATATCATCTTGCGACTATCTGTAAGCACTATACATTATGACAATTCCATCTCTTTTACAACAGAAGTTGAAATTATACAACGGAACAACAGGATACCTTGCAGTAAGTGGACAACTGCGAACACAGACAGGTCAGACTTTTTCAATTTTTATAAATAAGGCGATTTCTACCAAACAAAAAACTACCATAATACGCGGAGAGTTCTAAGCAGCTCTGTTGCTAATAACTTTGTCGCAAATTTCCACTGGGTTTGAACAATTTCGGGATGATAAAAGTAATTTTTGTTTCATTTCTGAACAGAGATTTTTAAAGCACGCTTGATATCTTACTTCAGCTGATCAAATTTGAGTTTTGTCTGCTTGCGCGGTTGTCTACATACTGGCCGCTCACTGTAACAGCATGCTAACACAAACAAGAATCGGAAATAAAAATTTATAATGATTTTGTGGCAGTTCTGATTTCACAAGTTAACTGATTGGTCGACAAAGGAGCCGGATGTAAGGCACACCTATCCCCGCTGTAAATGAACTTCTGTTCTGGTGAACAGTTTTTTGGAGCTAGCTAAAACGGCAATTTTCTCAATTAAAGAGAAAGTTGCCGTTTTAGCTTGTAGGATTTTCAACAGAAGTGTCAATAGAGTCAATAAAAATTGCGTTACTCTCAATTTTGAACCTTTGACGTGAATCCTTGACTCACGATATGGTCTAAAGACAGGGGCGGATCAAGGATTTTAGGCACTTTTTGGAAAACTTAAGGACGAGAACGGGTTCATCTTTTTCATTTTTAAGATTAGAATGAGTTACGACAAGCAAATCCACGAAGATTTCAAAAAGTGGAAACGCAACATCAACTTTCTGTACGATATTGTCTTATCTCACGTTCTAGAATGGCCGGCAACTAGTTTCGAATGGACCGGAAATTGCGACTCGGTTTCGAAACGAGACGTGAACCAATACGAGGCACTGTTCGCTTCTCGGTGCATGGAACCCGAAGATACAACTATCAATGTGGCTCGAGTTGATATTCCGAGTAGTGATAGCTCGTATGAATTCTGGGGCCGAGAAGAAGGTCCGATAGTTCGGAAAAATGACAGAAAGAGTATTATTCAGAAGAAGTTTGGGATTTTTCACCCCGTCAGTGAGAAAGTTGTTGTCAAATACAAGATAGTTATGCACGGTAAGTTCCTCAAAAAGTCCGAGTTAAGCACAGCAGATCTAGTGTTTCGTGAGAGGAATTAATTTTAGAAAACTCGCAATAAGTTTGTCAGCTTTTGTTAGATCGAACATATTGATTTTACAGAGCTCTCCTAAAACCCCAAAATGACCTGCTCTGCAACCGATTTTTTTGCGAAAAAGTGCCAACCTTTGGGTACTATTTGAAAGTTCTTGAACTGTCAGAATTGGTATATATTCTATTCACTTCTATTCGCTAATTCATTTCCAGCGATAGCGTTGTGTATTTTCCTTGAGATAACATTTTTTTTATTTTGTATTAAGCGAACCAAACGATCAAATAGAATTAAAATCACAGTAATTTAACTAATTTAACGGTATGTATATTCAAGCAAGATATCAGTATTATTACTTTCATAGTTAACGATGAAGTTTTTTGTTTCAGACCAGGTCAATTCGGTTAACTCAATGAAACAAAACTCAGACATCTTTGCATGTACAACTCAGAAGTCAGACTCAATATATGTCTTCAACCACAACACAAATACGAAATCTCGTCAAGAATTCTCTCCCGATTTGATTCTGTCTACGAGCTCAAGTTCAACGTCAGAAAACATTGCCAAAACTAAGGCAGTCAATCAGCAACAGTGGAATCCAAATGATGCTGGAAAACTAGTTTCTTGTTCTAAAAGTTCTGACATTCATATTCACGATGTGCGTGAAAGTACTAACCCGATTATGAGTTTCACTCGTGATAATTCAAATGTCAAAGGCTCGAACAGTTTGAAAAATGAGGCTTGTTTTAATGATGTGCATTGGCATCCTTCTATTAAATCAGTGTTTGCAACTTGCTCTTCAGATGGAAATTTCCAAATTTGGGACTCAAGGTCAAAAAACAAGTGCAAATCAAGTAGTGATGTAATTGCACATACTGAAGAAGTGTCGAGTTTGACCTTTTCTGGATTTGACGAAAGTCTAATGATCACTGGATCCAAAGACAGAACTCTGGCTCTTTGGGATTTGAGAAATTTGAGTGTGAAAATTCACTCTTTGACTGGACATGCAAATGCAATTGAAAAGGTTAGTTTTTTTTCCAGTTTTTTATTCTTTAACTTTAGTGTTAACAATTTGAGTTAAATTGGATGTGAACAATGAATTGATTTTAAAGTAGTACTTCTTTTACCCTTGCGATTAAGAATTTTATTACAACCGGTGCTAGACTTTTTTCCCTTTCGAAACTTTGTTCGCAGTACTCTTCAAGACTCTCGCTTACCTTGTTACAATATCAAGTTCCAATTACTAATTTTGTACATTTGGTGCAGAGGTAACGTCGATGCACGGGATGACGAAAGTCAATGGTTGATTCGGCAAAGTCATTTGTTTTTTTTTTGGGAACTGGAAATTTTTACTCTAGACAAATCAATTTTTCAGAATTTTGCGTGATTGCTTTTTATCTGCTTATTTTTCCAAGCTCGGAGTTTTCTGGAGGTTTCAGCAATTTAACTTTGTTAGATTGTTAGTTTTAGTTTTCCTTTTTTTTGTTGTCAGATTAATTTTTCATAACTTTTCTAATTTTTCATAACCAACTTTAGAAACTGATTCGGTGATCTTTTGGTTTCTGTTTAAATTTATGCTTTGGTTTCTGTTTAAATGGTGACGTTTAGGTGTCGTGGTGTCCTGATACCGGCATGATTGTGGCCTCTAAAGACTCAGACAGAACCCTCAATCTGTGGGACCTCTCTGCCATCGGGAAAACATCTGCAGAGTCTCCAATGGAGGAACTGGTTTCTTCTTTTCCTCCTGAGCTGCTCTTCTCTCATCGAGGACACTCGAGTAGAATCACTGATTTTAGTTGGAACCCGATTGAGCCTTACTTGATTGGTGAGTCGATTTGAAGTTACAAAAAAACAAAAAGTTAGATAATGTTGATAGTTCATTAAGATGAAGTTGTTTGATGAAGATTCAAAAAGTTATGTGAAATGATTCACTGCACAAGGAGACTATACGGACTATAGGGGCCTTAGTTTTACTTGAAATGTTACTCTAGGTCGTCTTAACAACAGCGAAAAACGGAGAGATAATTTCACAGGAACCGTACGACAAGTATGGTTTTTAAGCCGTGAAAAAACGTTTTCTTTCGACCTTCGGATTTATCTTTTAAGAACAAAAATGATCTCATTCTGTTGGTCTCAGATGCGTGTTTTTTTCTTATAATTTCACAATCATACGTTATTCGGATAAAATTTTTTATAAAATAAGATTAAAAAATGGGAAAATGTTGCCTCGTCTTGAAGTATTAAGCACATGGAGCACAAGATCATGGTGGGCGTCGAAACACCAGTCTATGCTTTGAGAGAGTGAGTAATCAGCTATGAATTCAACGCTGTCTGTCTGAAACCTAATGAACGTTTTTTTTTTTTTCAGGATCCGTTGCGCAAGATAACATCAGTCAGTTCTGGAAGCCATGCAGTTCAGTTCTCTCTCTGGCACAAGCATGAAGATGAAAAGAAGCCAGCCCAATAGAAAGTTAAAGTTTGTTTGATATGTGATCTATGAGTCCTTCATTTGCATTAGTTTGTTTTTACAATTGTTGTAATTTTTATTAAACTGTGTTTGCAACCTTTCTTTTGTTTTTGCCATTTTCTTTTTTTTAATTGTGCTTTCGACTACTCTGTCAAATTAACGCCAAAAAATTTGCATTTATCATATTTGTCTGAGTTTACAAAACAGGCTATTTTTGAGGCTCTCGGGGATTTGCAAAAGACGTCTGATTCGCAATTTGAACTTAGATTCCGCGTTTTTTGTCGGATTTCACAGAATTGCATTGGATCCCATAACCAATGTCATCAATTCAAGCAGTTCAAACTTTTATCACGTTTTGTGCGCACTGAACTGCTAAAAACTAAGGCATCAAAGAGTTTCAATGCACCAAATTTCAAGGCAGAAATACATGGGTGAAATTGCAAAGAATTCAATTTGACGTGTTCGTCTTAGGGGTACACCAAATCGAAGCTCAGTCGAAAACTTTGTCGTAACTTACTCGAACACACTATTGGAACTAAGTAGAACACTAAATCGAAATGTAGTCCAAATTTGTATCGAACACAATTTCGAAGAACAATTGCGCAACTTAATGAAAAACAATTTTGGAAATAAGTCGAGCTATAAAAAAGCATAAACTAATGAATTTGTTTTGTTTTTCTGTTTTTTTTTCTGCTTGTTAAAGTATGAAAACAGGTGCATCTAGCAATAAAATCAACTAACTTGAGTTTTTCAGATCCCTCAGCTTTCAGATGTTGTTTGATCTAGCTTTACGTCGTTTTGGTTTTCAAAGTGTGACTTTTAAATATATTAAGTATGGCTATTAAACATATCGTGCGTTTTGATAAACAGGCTAAAAGGCAGAAGTTTGAGACCCATCATCTTTTCCGTATAAATTTTACTTGACCAAAGAATCCACTTAATTGCACGTTTTTGAACCATTCTATTTTTTTTTTTGCTTTACTAAGGAACCATGCTTGGGATGTTACTATGGGTACCACATACCTTGTGTAGGCGTTTAATTTGGTGAAAGTACTGCATTGATTTTTGAGACCTCGTATGATTTGAAATGAAGCGCCAATGGCTTCAGTTGCTCGACGTTTACGGTTCTTATTCCACTTAAGCTTACTGGATACCATGAGTCCCAGGTCACGCTGAGAGTTTAGTGAGGATGGATTTTTGTTGAGAAGCGTTAGTTTCAGATCGCCGAGGTGATGTTTGATTATTGGTTGCATTTTGTTTGAATTTGGTCAATTCTGAATTTTCATAGTTGTATTGTCCAGTGATTGTTGATTTAGTAAGATGGCTTCAACTTCATCAGCATAGACAAATCTGTTTTTATTTCCCGGGGTTTTGGTGAGAACGTTGATGAACAAAAGGAACAGCGAAGGTCCCATAATTGAATCTTGTGGAACTCCACTGGTGACTATTCTCAAGGTTGAGTTGTTGCCTTCAATCTCAACGCATTGCTTCCTGTTTGTCAGGTAAGAAAGTATAATTGTCAAAATTTCCACCGACGCCAATTGTTCTGATCTTGTTAAGCAGGTTGTCGTGAGTTATAGTATGAAATACCTGCCTGTTGATAGTGTAACTTGTTTAGTTGGTCAAGAAAAAGAAAGTTGAACTGTTGTTGGCCTTTTTTTGGCGAAATCCATGTTGTTTTCTATGTTGCTTATCTTTCACTCTATAATAGAGTTTGTCAAATATGACTTTTTGCCAACATTGTTGAGCAGCGGCATAGGAGACCGATGGGTCTATAACAAAAAACTTAAACTTATTTTTCTCCTTGAATGTTGGGGTTGCGTGGCTAGTTTTCCATTTTTTTGGAAAGAGATTTTCAATTTTAGAATCAGACTTCCAATTTTGCATGTTGCATGGACTTTTTGACATTTAATTGCCTTAATGTTTTGCTTACTGGTTTCGATCCAATGGTTTTTAGTTGACTCGAACTTGATTTTTAGTTGGCTTTGTGTTGTACCGAGGATGCCGACGAAGTAGTTATTGAACAGCTCATTTTTTTGGTTTTGTTGGTTTACTCGGCGTTTTTTTAACTAAGATTAATGTTGGTGTTTTTTGTATGCATTTGGCATATGTTGGATTTTACTGAATATTTTCCTCTGGAGATTGTTTTTCTCGAGTTCAAATAAGTCGTCTTCAGATGATTTGTGAGGTATTTTTTTCAGCTTCTTGATCTTTCAAGTCTTTCAAGGCAGTGTTTTGTTCTTTTTTCTTCGTTTGATTTTTTTAAATTTGGTGATTTCTTGTCTTCGAAATACATGGTTTAGGAATTGATCGTTGTCCGATTAAAACTGTTAAAAGCTTGTCAGTTTTTTTCTGCAACCAATCGTACCCGAGAATTGCTTGAAAGTTTTATTTACAGGGTTAAATGGTTCAGATTCTATGGAAGCATTTAAACTAACCCTGTCGGCTCGCTTGAGTGCATATTGATGGTTTATAATATTAGGTAATTTGGGGCTGTTCGAGATGGCGACTTTGCTAACAACCGGCTCGGTCAGAATATTGATTCGTATATTGACTCAGAACATCGAATTTTGAAAAGGGTATTCGATGTTTTTCCTTAATTTCGTCCTCATTTTGACATGATATGGTTTATTCTGGAGTGTCACATAGCAGAATGTCTGGTTGAGTTGGTGCAAATTGGGAAAAATTTAGATTCCTCTTTTTTTATAGTAACTAATTTTCAAACAAGTTGGGCGAAGTGAGTAGTTTCTCAGCTGATTTGTGCGAATTTTTTGTCGCCATGATTATTAGATCACAGAACGTACTTTGGTTTACCGGATTTAGCTTTGCCATCTTTTTCAACGAGCTTTGTTTTTCATCAGTAATCCATTGGTCATGCAACATGAAATAAATGATCGATTCGTGGAATGCTTTTCTATCACCAGATTTGGAGCAATGAATGGAAGGTATTTTGTGCATAATATGATTTTTGACGACAATGAGTATTCTAGTATGCTTTGTTTTTCTTGTTTCAGTTGTTTTCCGGTCATGTAGATGAACTTGATATTTTTCAAGTAAAAGTGAAGCAGTTGCTACATCTTCGGTGCGCCTAATTTCACAGAGACAAATAATATCATATTCTGAATTTGATTTTGCATTTAACAGTTTCGTTCGGCTGCTACTGACAAGGATACTTCTGGTGTTGAATGTTAACAAGTTCAATGTTTGTAGCCATTTACTAGTGGTCAGTTCACCGGCATTAATTTTAATCACTTTTGGTTTCTTTTTCAGCTCATAGCCTTTGCCGATAATTTTATGTCTTCTCTTGAGACAGTTGTTGTTTTTTGTTTGGATTCCTCTTGAGAGTTTTGAATCAGGTTTTTGTTCGTCTTTTTTTAGTGTTGAGCTGCAATCTTTGAGGTCTTTTGTCGGAGTTGCATTTCCGAGTAGTCTTAATCAGTTTTCGATCGTCATATGCAAGGAATGCAAAAATGTTCTCGATTATTTCTCAGGGTTTCTTGCATTCGCTTAATATTGGTCTTTTCCTTGCACTCGGAAAACTTGCATATGCGACTGCAGAAGTTTGCTTTTGGTACAATTGTTGAGTCGAAATTTGGTCCTAGTGTTACGTTTCCGACGGCAGCTAGAAAAATGCTCGGTTTTTCTTGTAATGATTTAATATCATTTTGATCTTGAGTGATTCAAAACTGGATTGCTCCATTTTTTCGGTTTAAAATCTTAATTGGTTCTGGTAAGTTGTTGAGTTGTTCATGAAGCTGGTTACTTGATGCTGTTGTTGCGTTCGGGTTTGCAGTCATTGCAGGTTTAGAGAAAGTTCTTATGCAGTCAGGTTGTTGTGGATTCTAATTTCATCGTTAGTGAACAGTGTGGATTCTGGGAGAGATTTAGGACCATGTTGCATATATAACATGAGAAACTTGGTCTTTTGTTAAATTATTTTTGTTGCAAGTGAAGCTGTTTTCTTGCATTATGGATGGTTTGCTTTGGAAACTTTAAGTGTTTTCGACGGATTGCTGGGATATACTTAAGACAGCCAGCAAATAGCAAGATGAAGTAACAATAAACGCTGATAAAATAGGATAAGAGCTTGCTTAAGGCGTGGACAACAAAATCCAGTTCTTAAGCAGAGAATCTGAGATAATGACGTGGACCATTAAGAGCAGTTCTTTATTTGTTTTTGCACTATAGTAGAATTTCCACCACTGCCTGATTCTGTTGGAAATCAAATCTGTTGTAATTTCAACGACTGGACTTTTTAATTTTTGCAGGTCAGCAAGGATGTATTCCGCACTAGTGCGTTGACAGTGAACATTATTGCTTATTTGTGGAAAACCTCGAAATCGTGATAAAAAGCGTGGGTCTTATGCACTAAACGGCCCAAAATCATTTTTTCTACATCGTAAGCTGGAAATTACGCGATCAAATTTGATTGGGTAATTTTAGCCAATCAATTTCAAGTTACACAGTCAGGCATTCCGATCAACTTTTCTAGCAGATAAAAATATTAGCCGAAATTGCCGAAAAGGTGGAATTAATTTTGAGTCACTTGTGAAACCTTGCCCAGACAAGCAAAGTTCAGTAAAATGGCTTGACAAAACAAAATTTAATTTTCTTTATCATTTCGGCCAGTGATGACCCTATTAACGTCGATTACAGAATATAATCCTAAAATTCTATAATACTTTGATTATAATATTCTATCATAGAGTTCCTAAAAAATTGGATGTGAAAAAACTCTTTTTCAGAGCTGAAACTTTATTTCAATATGATGTTATTATCAAACGAGTTTTAAGAGTTTCGGGCAAAATCTTGTTTCTTCTGTCAATGGATAAATAGCCCGCCCTCGAAAAAACTCTTTCAGCTACAGCCGGAGAGGGAAGTATGCTCACTAGGCTTCTGGACAACTTCCTCAAAAAGGGCCACTGAGTACTCGGCTGGCGGAAAAATTCAAAAGCTGTACATCTTTCATCAGTTTGTGTGAGATAAACAGTCAGGAAGCCCTTCAGGTCAAATCGATTGTCTAAACTCCCTGCAAGCTGCTATCATGGCATTGCAGTTATCTGATTGATACGCCTGGCAATTTTGCGGGTCCAAATTGTTGTCCCTCAATGTCTTTTCCAATTCACGCGATGTTGTTATGGCTCTACCAGATTCCGCATTTTTAAAATCTATAACTTGAACAACGGGTTGATAGTTTTCCGTAAGGAAAGACACCAAAATAACAAGAATATTGCTACTTTTGTTGTCTTTCCAATGATCGAATTGTACCCCATAATGATAGGCTCCTTTCAGGACGCTCAAACAATACGTTTCCATTTTCTTCACGTCTGACTCTACGGTTTTATAATCGGGTACAGATGACAATTTTTGAACAGCTTGAAGAAACACTCTGTTTGGTTTGGATCTGAAAATATTTATTGGTATAGTTGTCTTGGAAAACTTTCTGACCATTTCCAATCGTGAAGCGTTAACGTCATTTGTCAGCGTTCTCATGCTGGTTATAAGTAATTGATTTGATTCGTTGAAGAAAGCAGGGTTACACCTTTGAATATGTCGTTCAGCTCCAGTAAGAAAATTACTACTTTTAACTCCTTCCAAACTTTTGTTGCAATTTGTGCACTTGTAACACTTTTCAGATGCCATAAATTCAAATGCTGTTTCCAATTTTATCCGTTTTGCCGATTTAGTTGGTGCCATTTCAAACACTGAAGCAAAACGAGCAAAATTAGGTAATTATTGCAGTTAAAAGGATATGCAACGAATGTTATTTTTTGTGTAACTTACACAGTGTAAGCTAAAATATGAGATTTCAAGTCGTCAGCCAACGAAATATTAGCTACTTTGATCAGCGCTCGTCAATAGCTGTGATTAATAGCGTTCTATTATAGTATTTCTATTAATAGAACAGACGTGTCAATATAGGCATTTTGATAGCCAACGCTATTATAGACTATAATAGAATACTATAATCTGGTCATCACTGATTTCGGTTAATAATTTTATCTGCTTGAAATTTCAATTGAAATGGCAGAAAATGTCGCTGGAACTTGATTGGCTAATTAGCCAATCAAATTCATCCACAATAATTTCAGCTAGAGAGATGTAGAAATAATGAAATTGGGCAGTTTAGTGCATAAGACCCAAAAGCGTGACATGTTGAACTTTCACTAGTTTATAATGTGGATCATTGATACAAGAGGCAATCACGCCTATTAATATCATTAGTTTATCGAGTTAAAACTACGCGTGTTGGTAATTCAAATCTAGAAGTAATAAAAGTTAAACGTTCATAGAAAGATTGCCCATATTTAAGAGTTTCTGGTGACATTCTATCAAAAAATTTGATTTCAAAAATGTTCTTTATTTTAAAGCGTCAATCTCGACTTAAGAAACACAAAACTGTGTCACACGTGCACGAAATATTTACTACACGTTTGGGTCTGATGATTATTTTTTTGTTGCATGGTGTGCCATTTGGCCATTTACGGCGTTTTCTTTAATAGTTTTTCGATTGAACAAGGTTCAATTTTGGAAGCTAAAACGGCAGAGCTAAAACTTTTCCTTGTTTGCACCAGAACGCGAACGGCGACAACAACAAACAGTCGGTTATGTCAAAATTTTGATCTAAAGCTGTTCCAAATTAGAGAATTAGTCAAATATGGACTCAGAGAACTCACTTCTAACGAGAGAAACAACTGGAACGAAAGAAGATCCGATTTAAAAGAAGTTGTGTGATTGCAACCTCTGGTAGTCTAGATTCTACCCTCCCGCAGGTCTCAGAAATCTTGAATATAAAATTTCGATGATTGAGCCGAATAACCAAAAAAAATCCATTGTAGACTTGTGCTTTTTCCCTTGTTTTCAATATGTCCTCAACGGAGTTTAGCCCGATTTTATATTGATTTTCCGGCTCGGTTGAGATGCGAATTAAGAATTGATCCATACAGGATGGATCAAGCTAAATACTGTTCAACAAAACATATTTTCTACTATTGGAATTAAAGTCTCTGGGTGTGTTTTAGGCATCCGAAAACCTTTACAGAGGGTTATTCATTCACTTTGAGCAAAAGTGGGTGAACCTTTGGAAAAGCCGAAAAATGCTAACTTTCATTAGCGTGATGCCACTGAACCACAAGTTGGTTGACTCCAAACATAACGAAATTTGAAAGCATGGTTCTTAATGTCCGGGCATGGAGTCAATGGCTAAAGGCATTAATTTGCCTCTCGTCGTGTGTGACCGTTCAAACGAATGTTACATGGCTTCATTTTTCGAGAAAACTATAATATTAGAACATAGTAAGGTAGCCAATCTTCCTTGATTGACTATGGGGCATAAAGCTATTGACATTGTTGTTTTCTGCTCCTGTATGTTGGAGCACCAAAATTAACAAGATTACATAATTTTTCGGTGTTCTTTTTCGCTACAATTCAAATTTTTTTGTTAAATGAGTTTAAATTGCAGGTCATTTCAAGCTAAAACTTGATTTGAACTTATGTTTTTTTAATCATTTATTGAAAAACGTTTGTATTTCTTGAGATTTTTTAAGCAATCTTATCCAAGTATATTGTGAGGAAAGACCTCGAAGTTAAGATACCTAAACTTAGTGAGACATTGAAAAATGATTGGCTGATGATTCAAGATTGAATTGTGACTGAACGTTGATTGGCTAATTTGAAACCATGTGTGGTCGAACAGTAGTGTCGGGAGATTCGAAAACACTCGCACGTCGCTGTACTTACTCGAATCGAAACGCCGAAAGTGTTCAGCCCAAATGGCGCTCAATTTCAACCAATCGGAGAGAAGAACGAGAAAGTAGTGACAATGATGCAAATGAAAATCAGCAAGTCAGAAAAACTTCGGAACATTTTTTTGAACCAAGTTTTAACATTGGACCACAATCCAAGTTACCTGTGTTGGTGTCTTCGCTAAATCTGTTGACTGATTTGCGTGAAGATGAGAAAAGTAGCGATGACGAGAGGTGTTTGACGGCCATGAGATGGGGTCTGCAAAGAGAGTTTATGAAGGATTCCAGTACCAAGTACAGCACTTTCAACTGTCGGGCCGAAAGTAAGTTCAATTCTAATAAGTTTACCAAGTTTTCGGAAAAACGAAATGATCGATTACGTCGAAGTAACAAATATGATGAGGGCCAATTCTGCTCGGTCAACGCTAAAATTGTTCAAAAGACGCCTCCGGTGTTAATATATACTAACTGGAACGCGAGGCCTGGGTCAAACCCATCCAAAAAACGTCTTTTAGTATTTTGGGGGGTTTGCCTGCGGCTCCAAAGTTTCTCCAAATGTGATCATTCTATGGTTTGGACAAATCTCAAAGTTTTCATAAAGGCTGACATAAAAAATTTTGCCTGTAGAGTTGGAGATTGTTCAGTAGGCAACATGGGAGAGATCTGTCAAGTTGATCCTATTCTCCCGTTACAAATATTTAATATGTGATGATCGAATGGAATATGGCCTAAGAGAAACAGACTATACTCATCGAGGCTGGATCGCATTTCATAGACCATCTGCGAATCGCAGAAAGCGGTTATTATGATTATTGAGATTATGCTTGAATCGGTGAATCTCTTTTTCTTCTAGCTCTGCTCACTGGTCCCTCGCAGTCGCAGCTGTTCAAGCAGCCCCTCTCTCGTGGCTTCAGATGTGCAGTAGTGGTGGATGGCTTCTTCGAGTGGAAAACATCAGCAGAAGACAAGAAGCAGAAGCAGCCTTATTTTGTACACGCACCACAGTCGAAAGAGTTCGAAGGTGGCTGCCATTAAAGCTCTAAATGCCAAAGTAGGAGGGGGCAAAATCTTGCTTCTTTCATGTATGGTTTTCTTGTGGCCATTTTTTTAAGCTCTCCTTACGGTATTATTTCTTAACATCTATTTAAGTCGAAAAAGTAAATTGCCGTCTTAAAAAAGGTTGGCTTAATTTTTCTTTTTTCGTTCAGTCAAAAAAAAACTTTCTGCCGCCGCTGGTTTAATTAGACAACCAATCAGCTTTCATGTGGTCAGAAGTTTTAAAGCCAACCCTACTAAATCATGGGCTTTAAAATAACGAGTCACCAACGAGTGAATATTTGAAAGACTCCTCAGAAATTCAATAATTTCACTAAAGAGTCACTCTTGGTACTATTTAATGACATCAAAAAAGATGAAACTATTTTTCATTTTGTTGTAGAATCCTGTCGAGGAAATCCTATATCTATCACTTGCATAATGGCATTTGGGGCTGAGTTTTTCTTAAAAAATGAAGATTGTTAGGCTAGTTATAAAAAAGGTGTATTGGATTTTTAGGTAAGTTTGAGACTGCCGAAGACAAAGATGAATATAGAAAAATGCTGGTAATGGCAGGCATCTACAACCCCGTCAAAACAGCCGAAGGTGAAACAGAAAATACATGCACGATCATCACAGTTGAATCATCTCACGATCTCAAATGGCTCCATCATAGAATGCCCGCTATTCTGCCGGATGATGGTTCAATCCAGGTAAAACAATGATAGATGGGTCCACGATTGTAGTGAAGCATTGTGAACGGACACATCGTGAAGGGAAAGATTGGCTGACTCATTTTGAACTCAAGCCTGCGGCACCAAAGTATGATGCTACGTCGGCGACGCTAAATTGTTTTTGTTTAGTAATCATTGAAACTTTGTTCGTCAGAAAGATTGGCTGACTCATTTTGTACTCAAGCCTGCGGCACCAAAGTATGATGCTACGTCGGCGACGCTAAATTGTTTTTGTTAAGTAATCATTGAAACTTTGTTCGTCAGTATACGTTTTTTTAGTTGATCTGAGAAAGTTGGTTATTTGGCAGAAACTCCTGAATTTTGGTCAACAATTTTTTAGTTTCAATGGAATTTTTTTCTAATAATTTCGACAGAACTTGAATAAACAGCTTATCTAGACTATAAAAGGTTGTAAACGTTGGGATATGTCCTAATTAGAAAAAACTCTTCATCTGAAGTACATAAAACATGCAATGTGCATGTAGTCGAATTTAATTTTTTTTGAAACCAACCAAAAAATTGGTTAAAAAAATTGGTTGTAATTGTTGATCAATTGCATTTTTTTATGCCTGTAATTGGAACCCATCTATCATACCTGTTATTCAAAACAGAAATGGCTGGATGCAAAAAGTGTATCTACTAATGAAGCCTTGAAGTTGCTGAGCCCTTTTTCTGGACTTCAGTTTTACCCAGTTGATTCAAAAGTGGGTAACATCCGCTGCAATGAGCCGAGTAATTTGGAAAGAGTTGTCGTCAGTCGGAAAAGAAAAGGAGAGAAAGAGAGTAAACTGATGTTGAATTGGCTGAAGTCGGCAAAAACCTCTTCTAATTGAAACGATGAATTGTTTTTGAATGTCTGATTTAGTTTACCCTGTTTGTTTGTTAGTTCCACTTGAAGAATTTGAATGTTGTGAAGCATTTTTTGAAAGAGAAGAGAGTTATTCGTAGCTTCTTAACAGTTTTGCTGGAGAAAAACCGAATTTTTGTGGTAATAAAGGCGGCTGGAAAAACTGAGACTAGTTTTATACTGAATGTTAAACCGAAATGTGAAGCCTTTTTGTTCCGACCACTCAAAGTGGGGAGGATCTTTGTATTCGGGTGTGTCTAATTTTTTTCCACGCAAAATCAGGTACCACAAATAACCTTCGGAATCGCTCGAGTGATATATCCTATAAAAGCACTGTGAGCCGTGATTCGAAGGACACATTAAAAAACTCTCAGAAAGCTGTTCTAGCGTCGACAAAAACTGGTATAAAATTTTTGATTTTTAGCCCAATTTCGAGCGAGTAAAGCGATCGAGTAACCTTCTTCATATGAAAACTAAAAATAGTTTAAAACTGGTTGTGCAAAAAATAGAATTTAAAAAAAATTTTTTTTTCATGTTTTGTTTGTCATTCACTTTTTGAATACTGCTTGTCGATTAAGCATAAAGCACTAACTTTTGACCCATTTGTATAATTTTTTTCCCACCACGCTCAAAAGCGGCTCTAATTTGAAGAACGAACAACTTATTTAAATTTTTTTTAATGCATGTGGTCGGATCATTCTGTGCTACTTTCACAGCAACCGGCTATGCTTGTTTTTCTTTAAAAAATTTTGATATTCTAAGTTTTTGAAGTTCGTTGGTTTAAAATTGCTTCGCCACAAAGAAACTCGTAAATCAAAGAATCATATCTAGACTGAGAACATAAAACGACTGATCTTGAACTATTCGGACTTGGTTCTTTTTCTGAAGGGTAATGCCCATTTCCAAATTGGGACCACGTCTAAATTACGACAAGTTGACTAACAGAATTTCAGTCCTTTTTAAAAGTGGTCCTTATCACCGATTAGCGATGTGTGAAATTTATGCTAAACTAACAATGGGCTGAATTTATCATTTTGTCATTACAGCAGAGGGTTTGAATAACCTACTTATAGGTTGCGGTTAGTTTTTATGAACTTCTGAAATACTTGTTGTAACATTTAATTGGATTTTTACTTTCCATAATGAATGTTTTTAAGATTTTTACTTTCCTAGTGTTAGTTTTAATGCACTTGGCAAGCTCACAGCTTGAAGTGCATCGACTGTTAGTAACTACAAATCGTGCATTAGTTGAGCTACAAATTCCAAGAAACTCTGAAAAGTTAGAAGGTAAGTTAAAATTGAAATGGGCTGGTCAATATAACTCTCTTGATTGAATTTGATCTTCACTTAAGTGCTTGAGTGCTTAGGTACTTGCTAAGGCTTCTTTTGTTTTTTTTTTGGGATCATTCGTTTATAACGTACCATTTAGCCTTATATTATTATTCAATAGTTACAATTGTTATACTTAGTTTTAAACCTGCCGAAAATAACAAATATAAACAATAGAAACTGTTTTATGTGTAAGTAGCGCAGAATGTTCCGACCACATTAATCTTGCAATCAATTTCAAAAAAAATAATCATGTTTTTCTCCAAAAAGTTCGAAATGGAGTTGATAATCAGCTACAAACAGCTAGAAGTGAATTTGTAAAAAGAACAGTTTATGTATTGGGAGCTTGGTGCGTAATTTATTCAACTTTTGCATTAAATATTTCTGAAAACCGAAAATTTTTTCTCGACAACAATTTTCTCGACAAGAGACATTTTCTCGACATTAATTTTTTTTGAAACTTTTTTGGAGTCCGATCCATAAATGACTTTATAACATCATGAATGTATGTATGATGATACCATTTTCGATACCTTTCGAGCGTTCTCTATGGCACGTGATTATGCATGAAAAAACCGTAGATCATATTTTTTGCCCACCCCTTGCCCGTCGTAACAAAAACTTTCCTTATATGGAGATTTCATGTCTTGTAAGAACTATCTTCGAAAACATTATTTTTCTTATCTTTTCCATCTTAATTATAAATTTTTGCTGGCATATATTTTGAAGGTTGTTGAAAATTGGAAGACTAATTTATCTGCACTTGGTTTACTCCAGACTACCTTTAAAAAAGGTTGAGCTATTTCTGCTGTAGGTGGTGACTCATTTGATCTTTATGGAAATTGGAATTCCAACTTGTCACTGGTGGGTATAGGGCTGGATGTGAAGTCAGATAAGACTGGCGATCATGTTTTGTTCGGTCATAGCAAACATGGAATGTCAACTATCTACAAGTAAGTCAACTATCTCAAAAAATCACATAAAAAACCGAATATATTAAACGTTAACGTGAAACCAATTGAAATGTTTGGAATGGCCTATTTAATCTGATTATCCATATAGATGAAAAGAATTCTTTGATAATCTCTTGAATTTTTTCTGTTATATCTTATATATATCTCAAACATCGGTCTTAGTATTTTCTTTTGCTTGCTTTTAGAGCTTCAATAACCGAGCTGTCAAATGGACCGACGAAATTGAACCCAGAATCAATTTCCGAGTTGCAACAAACTGTCATTAATGATCTAGCAATTGACTCATACTCACAAGTGGCTTATGTAATCAATGTGAAAACTAAGCCGAATACAATAGTCGCAGTGCCTTTGGATGATGATCAAACCAGTGAGGAATCAATCGAGTTCATGGCAGGAAAAGAAGATTCATTGTTCTTATCGTTGGCTGCCGATTCGAGACGAAGGTTAATGCAAAAATTACAGCAAAAAAAAACATTTTTTTCGAGTTTTTTCTAATTTATAAGAATTTTTTAAAATTATAAGTAGGATTTATTAGAACTATAATTACACCTGCGAGCTTCGAGCGCTAGTGTATATGTACGAACCTTCTTTTTTCTAACCTCACTCGCAAATAAAAAATGTTCAAGTGTTGTTTTAAAAGTGTTCGAGTGTTATTTGGTATTTGGTGGCACGTTTGCTATAATCACGATATGTAGCATTGGAAATTTCATAGCATCTGTTCTCTGCGTTATTTGCTAGATTTAGTAATTAATTAAGTGTCTGTGGCTGAGTGATTAGTGCGTGATACTTATATTCTCTAGGACACCGTATGTTACAGATCGACTCCGAGACCTAGCCGAATTTTTAGCACCTTACAGCTGATTTTCGTGGTGTTCTCGCTTGTTTGCGTAGCGCACCTTCGCCTCTGTGTAATTTGTGCTTTGACATTGGGTTAGTTATAAGTTAACTCAGTTATTCTAGTTTGTTACATGCAAAGTTATTGTGGTTGCCTTTATTTTATTACATTCCAAATTATATCATGCAAAGTTTGAGATTTTGTGCATTTTTAAGCTCCTGAATTTTGCCGCTTTCTGGCTCGTGTTCGCGAAGTTTCAAATCTGTACCTAATGTACGTCATGAAATTTTAGTCTATGTACAGTAAAAACGCTTGTGGTATATTACCAGTAAATTTTTTTCGGATTTGTCGGAAAGTTCACAAGCTCGGCTCTTTTCCAGTTCCCCCCTTTCATATTCAACTTTGAAAAGCTTATTTAACCTTGTCATAATGCAGTGAAAGTTGGCGTGGTGAACAAATCAACAACTGTGAACAGATTTGTTCTTCTTACTTTACAGCGTAACATCACGCATTTAGCCGTAATAACACGTAAAACAAACATAAAACGCGGTATTTTGAAAGGTGGGGGGGGGACTGGAAAAGAGCCACAAGCTCTGTACAGTGCCGCATGAAGTATCGCTGTAATGGAAAGGCAGTGAATTATTTATAGGATAATGCTGACTTTTTTTTGCAACATCGGCGATAGTTTGCAGTACAGGTTTCTATTCAGTTTTGAACCCGCTACGTTTTTATTTAAAACTTTAGTTCATGACCTTTTAGTACCAAACGTTATATGTAGGTATCCCAACTGTCATAAAACCGCAGCGTATATTGAAAGTGAAACACAACGTTTCTAATGTGTTTTTTTTATCTGGATTACGTTTACCTATTGTGCTAACTAAAGATCAAGTTATGCGAGGGTAATTACGTTTAAATCTTTCAACATAGGTGGGCCAGATTGATCTATTTTTTCTCTATGTTTCGTTTCTGCATCTAAACATTGTTGTTATAATGCTGGAGCAGTACTGATTTGCTGTGCGGCGCCAATCCCTTTTTCGAATGTAGCTTTCTATTTGATTTTAATCTTAAGAAGCATGTGATGAATTCGGGTAATTGAATCTCATTTCACTGATGCCTGGTAATAATTATTCTGGCGTCAGGCATAATTTTTTTTTATTGTTAATTGGACTCAGTAGCTTGTTTGTCAAAAAGTACACAAAAATAATTTTATAGGATAGAGAACACGCGTCAGATTACTCGGATTCAATCTGCTACGCGATGAAAAATCATCTAATTTTTTTTGACTGCACAATCTTTTGTTCCGACTTTCAAAGAAAATAACGGAATATTTGTGCTCTGGGTGGTTTTTTTTCAGACAAATTTCGGCTTTTCATCTAGCCATTTGTGACCGAAATTTTTACATCATTCAAAAGATATTGCTGTCCTGAGCTTAAATTTGAAAAGATATTTTACCTGTGATCATTTTTTGTAATGTAATGGGGGTTTAAAATTCGCCAGTGTGGCCAATTTGGGATAATTAACGTGCCATATATTTTTTGCTATTAACGTGTAAGAGGCAATTTATCAACTCAGACACAGTTTCAACTTTTATTGAGGCCTGCTAGTTGTTCTGTTAGTTAATGCTAATTTTACTTTGTACTTCAAATAGCGTGTAGGGCTTTTTGAAAAAAAAACACATTTTGATAGTTATTAAAGGACGTCAACCTGATATGAGCTGTCTTCTTTCGTTATATGACAAAACCTTGTTTGAGATTATCAAAACCTTTTTTTTTTCAGGGTTCTTTACTACTCCGAATTTTTAAAGTCATCTAGAGAGTGTAAGGTGAAAAGGAGAAGCTTGCCCGACAGATTTAATGACGTCAGAGACAATTTCAACGCCTCCCAGACACTGACTAAATT